CCCCCTCCAGGTGCCGCCCCAAGCACCAGCTTGGGTGCCTGGTGCCTGGAGCCGGCCCTGAGCTGGACTGAGCCCTGGGCAGATGCGCGCATGGAAGAGATGGGAGTGAATCAGCTCCCCTAGGATGCAGCTCCCACTGGAAGCTGCTGCAGCACCACAGTTGCAGTAGCCTCTGCAGGCTCCCATGCAACCTCTGCAGCAGCTCTGCTACTAAGACCCCGGCTGTGTCTCAAAGAGAATGTGTGTGCAAACCTCAAAAACTGCATCTAAACAGCTTGTAAAACAAAATACAGAACAATCAGATCCTGTTTTACTGACTTGGTCCGAGCTGAGCTCAGGGGGTTTGCATTTCCACAGCTGCAGGAGATAACAATGCTAATAACTGAAGCAGAATCCAGGGAATGCAGTTACCTGCTCTCTCACCAGGTGCTGCAGGGAGGTAATGAACCCTGAAATCATCACTAAAAGGTGAACTAAAAGCCAGACTCTAATATGAGAAGGACACCACATTGGCACAGTTGTTACTCACTGAGCACCAGCAGTGCTGTACACACAGTGAAGGACACAGTCCCTGCCTCCAAGAAGTTCAAAATCTAAATCAGTCAGAGGATTAATGGTACCTTGAGGCTGGATAAACACTTGGGAAACAGCTTTATTTTTAAAGCAGAAGCCACAGCTCCTGCTCTACTGTGATCTTATAGAGACGTGGGGCTAGATTCACCAAGCATTTACAGCAGCTTAAACCCTAGTGGAAGGTCATGGCAACTGGAATCTACCAGAGAGACTGTGACTAACTCGAGTTGGTTCACCCCAAAATGCACTTTGTCCCCACTTAGATCTGTAGGCTTTTCTGCCAAACTCCTTCTGAATAGCTAGTCGGATTTGAGATCCCTCCCCACAGACATCAAGAAGCCCACTCTTCTCTCTCAGGAACCATGCTGATATGGACAGAGAGTCTGGAAAGAGATGCAAAGGCATCCTGGAGTAATCAGCCATAGTGGCTCTGTCTACACAGGAAAAAAAGGTGCTTTTTCAGTTGTTAGCTTAATTTTATCAACCCCACCTCTCATCCTCCATAACACTCATGTAGTCACAGTTTAACACCTTTGAGGTCATTTGAGCTGGTGGTGTTGTAGTTATCAAGTTAAATTAATTCAAACTGAGCTAACTTGATGGGATCCCTTATGGGATCCGACACTGTCAACTGAGAGCCAACAGGAGAGGGACCCAAAGTTTTCTTGGACAGTCAGGAGCTACTGAAGGATCATCCAAGTTCTGTCTCTCATGATCTAGGTCAGAATCTTTGGCATGAGGGAGGAATGTGAGAGAACATAAATAACTAACGTACGTGAACACCGCTCTTCATGGAAAGGGAAGCGTTCTGTTGCTGGAGCAATGGCAACGTTTTCATTCAAAAGTGTGACAAAGGGACCTAAATCAGCTGCATCCCACTGAAGAAAGTGCTTTTCCACCACCCACACTCGTGACTCTATTACCAACAGGTTGAAACACTGCGGTATTGCGTTCTTCTTCTCCACTACATAAAATGACAATCTCCAGCAAATTCCGTCACATCCACTGTGGGTTCTTGACTGGTTCCAAATGCAAAGGGATGACTACAGCCATCCTCTTAGCAAAAGCAGCGGAGCCAGAAGAGTTTTTTTCCAATCCCTCTTCATCCATCTAGGTCAATGTGTTCATTGGATAGACCACAAATCCATTTAGATTATCCAGACAACACGCCTCAGATATCCGCAGCCTTATTCCTTGCATCTTGGCTTCAGATTTCCCTGTGGAGAGGAGCAAGAGCCTAACATGCTAACACAGGCAAGTTCACTTGGGATACAACCGAGAAAGTCTCCACCGAGAGCTCTAAACACATTCATGGCGCCATGCTTGGGCACAACCTCTAGGGTGACCAGATGTCCTGATTTTATAGGGACAGTCCTGATATTTGGGGCTTTGTCTTATACAGGTGCCTATTACTCCTCACCCTGTCCCGATTTTTCACACTTGCTGTCTGGTCACCCTAACAACCTCCAAACTGGAGTGCAGAATGCCAAAAGGATGTGTGGCCAGATGTCTCGTTCAGAAACAGATGGTATATTGCTTCACCAAGAGGCATATACCAAACACAGCTTGGATATACACATGTAAGCCCAGTTTTAACTGCCACCAATAGCAGCTCCTCTTCATCTGACAGCCTTCTCCTACACTGCCCCTCACGATGTCCTGAACAGCTTTTAAAGCTTTGTGAAAGGGTCAGCTAGCCTGTAGTCAGCCAATCAGAGGGCAGCGTGCTCATGAAAGTGGTTACAGAGGACTCATTCTCTTTTCCTAGCTGCACTCTGGGGATCAAGCAGCCAAAGGTTTCCGCTCTGTTTTCTTCCTGAACCTTCCTGCACAGGTAAGTAAAACTCCCACGAGAATTGGGAAAGGCTAGAAAGCCACAACAACCACCAGCCTTTTTAATCCTTTCCGGAGATCAGGACATGCCCTATTCTAGGGGGACACATGAAGACCCCAGGGTACTGATGCACCAGTGCAGCTTTAAGTGCACAATTCAGACGGCTTCAAGGATGTCAAAATGCTGCTTCTAGGCCTGTCCTCTACACAAGTGCCAAATCCATGATGCAGTCATTGCTCTCAGCAGGATCTACACTGGACTCTGCTCACCGTGAGGAGTGTCTTCCACTTAACACTGGGGGAAGCCAAACATGACACGAGCCACTAGCCCTCAACTTTGTCAGGTTAGGGTGACCCCCTAGAACTGCTCCCATATGTAGATGAGTTGTGATTCCTGCTGCGCCAGGAAAGGCCCTTTGTGTGAGTGCACCCAGAGCACGTAAAACTGCTGGGCTGCTTCTCCTTATCCGCAAATGAATTAGGCTAAAGACAAGATTCAAAGTGTGACCCAGTCAGCAATCAAACAGGAAAAGATTTACCTGGCAAAGAGACACAGACAAGAGACAAGGGAACTGCATCAAACCCACAAGAGTGACACACTGAAGCCTCAACACACTAGAGAACCTTTTACATTTATATTTAAAAATAAGTCAGCGAATGAGATCGTAAGAGGGGTTCCATTCAACTCTCAGTCAAAAGGGCAAAGGATCTGCTCCAGGATCACCAGGCCTGGCAGAGTGACACGCAGCAACAGATGATGGAAGTTGCAGATCCTACCTGGACAGAGAAAGGAATCCAAGGGCAGCTACAGACCAAAATGCCCAGGTAGGAGTGTGCCTCCGCTGGGGAAGGAGAGGTGGGTGATTTCAATAGCTTAGAACTCAGTGCTATGAAACAGAGGCATACAAGCTAGAGAGGGAGGAACAAATAAAACTTGTACCCTTGGAAAAACAAATATATTTTCAGTTGTTCTGAGGGATAGATTTTTGCAAACAGCTTTTAAACTAGTCCCTCCTGGTGTGTGGTATAACAGCTGTCTCCGCATCGCCAGACAGAGAGATCATGCCATTGCCTGGTTTACAAGTTAAATTGGAACGCACAACCTTTCCACACTAATCCAAGCTGTAGTTTACCAAGTGAACTCAAAGGCCTTGCCTCTAAAAGTTGGCACCAGTGGAACATATGGATCAAAGCCAAGATTATTCACAGCTGGGTCTGCCAGCACTTCAGAACTGAGGGATTGGGGGAGAAAGTTTATTCTGTTGGCTGGTAACTGTCCATACCATCCTGAAACTTCACTGCTCCCCTGAAGAGATGGGAAAGCAAAAGCTGGTCTACAAGCGAAAGATACATTGATGATCCAGTGTCTGGACCAGGAAGACACAGTATTTAGAGCTCTCTTGTGCTTGCTGAGTCTGTTCAAACAGCTGTTTTGTATATACAGAAAGCTTCTTCATTTCCATGCTAAAGGTCCTTCACTTTACTGCTGTCAGAAAGCAGAGATTGCCAGTAGTATAGGAATATTCTGGAAGGATGATGGATATCACCACCTGATTCACTGAAAGCAAACATCTGCTGATGATGTGATATACCCAAAACCACCCCAAACCACTGACTTCTTCCTTCCCCCTAACTATCTTTTGCACCAAGTAGTATAAGATTGGTGGCTGTATGAGGCAAGATGCGCTCTGTCTGCTGAAAAGCATAATCTATATCCAATGTTTCGGATATAATCCAAAACCAAAGCGATCTCAAAATTGAATGCTCATGTAGCGTTCTCAGGCCTCTGTGTACTGCAGTTCCAGCTCAACATATGACAGAATCCATCCAGCTGCAGCCAGAGAATGTCAATGTAATGTCCACATGCCCAGCAATTCTGGATACTACCAAGAACAACAGGTAATTCTGCAAATGTGAATTTCAAATTGATTGAGGATAGTAACTCTGTTAATAAAAAGTGTTTAGTGTTTACAAATGCTGCCTCTGCTAATCAAGTACAGTTAAATAAGATTTGCATTGCAACATACTAATTAACACTTATGGTTTCTGATTCACACTTTGATTTTAATGAAACGCCGAACAGGATTGTCAAAGCCATTGTAATTAAAATACACCATATAGTGCTGTATTCTACCTGGGCTTGGTTTAAGTTTTCAGCTGTATGTTTTATGCTAGTGGATGCTAATTAAGCTATTGTATTACAGAGCATCTCTTATGAAAGGTGATTTTCATATTCTTGACCTCTCTACCTCTCCAGGGTCAGGAAGCCCAGGGGCAGATTACACATGAACTGGACTTTTCTGACCATTTTATATCCAGGACCAGATTAGCTGATTCTGCTCTTTCATGTTTGCCCTGCTATGTAAAGTTTTCCATCCAGTGCTCACCCAGGTTTAAACAGTGTGCATCTCTCTCATGTCTGTTAAATAATACTTATTTTAAGATAGAGGGAGAGATATGAAGGTCAGAATTTTAATAGGGACAAAAAGAAAAAGGGTGATTAATGTGACAAATCTCAAGAGCCGGCCCATCTCACTGTAGAAGTCACAGCACTAAACAGTGGGGATCGCTGTGGCATGCACTCCCAGAAGGGCCAGGGTGAGGAATGGGTATCTTGCACTCAAAAGTCTGGGAGCCCTTCAATGCAAAATCATATTTTAAATGGCTACGTAAATAATTCTATGCAGGAGTCTTACAATTAATATTTTAGCCAGCAGGAATACTAGGTAGACACAGCTACTTATGACAAGGAAAATATCCCTCCCCAAACTGGTTTTAGTATAGAGAGCATATCTGAAAAGAAAATATGAGGACAAACTGGAGCAAAATATTAAAAGAAAGGGAAGCTTCTGGGGCCTTTCCCCGCTGCCTCCCCTCTGCTGGAAATTTTCACTGCTGTTTGCAGCTACACACCGCAATGAGTGAGGATACAGCCTGCATTTCACTGTGGCTATGCCTACCCTAGATGTCACCGCAAGGATAGACAAGTGTAGACAAGGTCTAAATCCTTGTCCACACTAGGGATTTTACCTGGTGCTCTCACTGATGTCAACAGTGGGAGCAGCTAAAACAGCTGAAAATGGTTCAATTACAAATGTTAAATTGTGTCCCAAACTGCGTTCAGTACTGTTTCATAAGCCATGATTGAGCCTTGAGATTTGGTCTTGTCAACACATGCATTTAAATGGTTTCCATCACGACACTCATTATCACCAAGAAGTACGTTTCCTAGTTTTGATGTGGTTAAGGGGCATTGCAACAGATATGGCAATTTCTTGCAATATCATTGATAAACCTTATTGAATTAAGTTTAAGTATCTTTGGGGTCCATTGTATTAAATGCAAAGTCTATGTATTATTGTGGGTTGGGGTTGTATGTAACATCTCTAGGCGGGAGCTGTGATGTGAGGCCTGGGGGTTCAGAGGACTATATTGAAAATGTGCCAAACAAGAATGGAATTTTAGGACAATAAGTGTTAAGTGGATTTCTTGGGGAATACCTTAGGGAGAGGCTAATGCAAATTCTCCACCTCTGGTTATGCAAAAACCCTAGCTTTTGAAGGAGAGGGTATTTGTCTGCTATTACCCATTCCCAGAGACTGGAGATCAAAAGCCCAAGCTGTGTAAAGAAACCAGCTGTTGGTTCTGGTTCTGAATGTGAGACAGATATGAACTTGTTATCATGGGGAAAACCCAGTTGTAGGTTTTGACATGAACTTGTTATCATGGGGAAAACCCAGTTGTAGGTTTTGACATGAACTTGTTATCATGGGGAAAACCCAGTTGTAGGTTTTGAAGGACTGATACCTGCGAGAGCTCCAGGCTGGAGCTGGGATGACCTTTGGTAATCTTTTTAGCACATGTGTGGTTCTTTTATTGTTTTTAATACATTTTCTCTGTAAAACTTGATGGCTGAAGCTTTCATCATGTGTTATTCAATAAAGGTCTCAAATGAGCACATGGTGTTGAGGCGATACACACCCAAGACAGAAAACAAATGAACAGCCAAGACTAAGGGCATGACTACTTCACTCTTATTTTCTAAAATTACAAACCATCATTTCCAACAATGAAGATCCACTGGTGGTAGCAACTTTGGGAGCCCTAGTGTAGACAAAGTGGCAGCAGCCACCAGTGTCACCTAGCCTTGCCTTCAGCAGGGTTAGATGACATGGTGGGTAAAATTCCAGCACCCAATCTGCATTAGCTCTCCAACCATTGCAACCAAAGGGGGTGTGTGTGAACTGTTAGTAACAACAATGAGGAATTTTAGGAACAACAGTCCAGTGCAGAACCCCTCCAACTAAATTTGGCAGGACAATATTGTCAAACCCGGACGCATGCTGTTTGATGTAAGGGTCATTCTAGAAAAGCTGCAATAGCTCTTGCTTTTTTATTTTTAAATTTGAGTTTCCATGTTTTCAATGTGCGCATTCCACAAGTTAGGAGGAGAAAATTGTTCGAAGTACTGAGGGGCCTGAGAGTGCCAAATCATGTAATGCGCTTACACACGATCTAACCTTCACCACCAGACAACAGACTGTCAGTGGTCCCAGTGATGTCAGTGATTTGATCTTTTGGTTTACCCTGGCCTGTTTCAAACACCAGTAGTATAGTGCTGGGCTCCAACTCAGCCTTGCCTAAGATCTAACCTTGTGCAAGTAAGAATTCCACAGTGCCTAGATGTCCCTCAGAAGCAGCCATCATCAAAGGAGTCCGACCCTGCTTGTCTGCCATGTTTACATCAGCGCCGTGGGTGAGTAAGAGATCTACAATCTGGAAACACGTAAAACAAGGATACATTTGATACAAAGAGGTTCTGCTGGGATGAAATGAGAGCTGAGATACAGCCTAGCAGTCCCCCCGGCTTGAAACCTCACCCAAACCTCAGACACAGAGAAAGAAATTACTTCTTTATCCATATTTTCCCCCCCTGCTAACTGCAGACTTTGGAGTGCCTGGCACCTAACCTATTGCCCAGCCTTTATGTGCCACTGTCTTTTAAAGTGAGGTGTGGCGGGAGGGGTTGTAGTGGATTAGATCACTTAGAAAATATTATTGTTTTTAATCTAAACGAACTAAAGTGCACCAAAATAGCATGGTCCTGGCTGCATTACAAAGGCTGTAATAATAATAACCACAATAATCCTAATAATAATAGCTCAGTTTACACCAGCACTTTCTGTCTTTTCGGTAGTTAACAGAGAAGGCACCAGGACAGCCACTGGTTCTTTTAAGACAGCCATTAATTCTAACTCAGGTTACATTTCAAGGCTTAAAGCCTTTTCTATTTAACCATAATGGGTTACCTAGGGAGATGGTGGAATCTCCATCCTTAGAGGTTTTTAAAGCCCGGCTTGACAAAGCCCTGGCTGGGATGATTTAGTTGGTGTTGGTCCTGCTTTGAGCAGGGGGTTGGACTAGATGACCTCCTGAGGTCCCTTCCAACCCTGAGATTCTATGCTTCTATAATAATAAGAGTATCATATTTAGGAGAAACTACTCACATAGCACTAGACGTGAAGACCTACATCTTCTAAAGTGACTGGTGATTTTTTGATGCCTGAACTAAGACATCTTAAAGGGGCCTCATTTTATACGCCCTCTCCAAATGAAACATTGCGGAACATTTAGGCCAAAGCATTTAGTTGGGCAAGTCAGAAGCCTGATGACTTTAGTGGCTGAACATTTTCTGCATGGAATACTAGTATAAGGGATTATCTAAACCCATAACTTTGTCATTACCAACAACATGCACACCCACCACCCTAGTCAAATGAGAAATAACGTTTGGAGGATGCTGCAGTGACCTCATTTACCTGCCAGTGGCCTTGTCTCACTGCACTGAACAATGGCACCACCCCACGTCGATTTGGCTGGGCCACTGCTGCTCCTTGCTCTAGAAGCAGACGACATACTTCCAGCTTGCCCCGTCCTGCAGCAGCTGTCAGAGCTGAAAGGGGGAGGAGGGGAGAGAGAGAGAAGGTCTTTTAGAACAGCATATTTCCAGCAGTAAGAAAAATGTCTGCTTTGCTACCTTTGGTGATCAGAAAATATAATGTGCTTTATGTTAAACACATTTTCTTTCAATTTCACCAAGCAAAAGGAGCGACTCAGCTTGCTTGTACTTCAGCATTACAGTGAACGAAATAATAATAATAAAAACATTCAATGAAAACAAATGAAAAAACAGTAATAAAAAAGCCTAGTTCACCAAAAAATTGATACCAGAGAAAGAAAGCCTGTTCTGCTCATTCATGGCAATTTGTGAGTAGCTTTCAGTAGGGCTGTGATTTCTGCCAGTAATCTCAAATCTCTCCTCCCTCCAAACATCTGCATTCCCTCCACCCTGAAGGTTACAATTATTATATTCAGGGCCTAGATACTACCCTCACAGGTAGGATAAAAAAACACACAGAATGGATAGACAGAGAGACGATGATACTTTGCTAGTTGTAATTTTCACTAATCATTTATATTTTATTGTCAAAGGTTAGTTCTTTCGGTAAAGAGACCTCATAAGAGCCTGGAAAAAGAGGACTGTATGACAAAGACCTTTTTCCTTTTCCCCAAGTTGCAATGGACACGGAAAAAAAAAACCAGTTATGATAATCACCAAATAATCTACTGGCATGTGCAACTATGAAGTTCAAGGCAGTGTCATTTGAAACCTTAAACATTTCCCCTTGGGCCTCCCGCAGCTTTTCTGTTGCACAGTACAGCATACAATCCAGGGATTCTAAAACCAAGTACGTCACTGCATGGGAATGATTTCAATAGAACACACAAACCTCTGGGTACATGCTTTCTTCACAAACACTTTAAAGCCCTTCCACAAAATGTAAGTTGTATTTGTCTAGTTTCACTAGGGAACCTGACTATGTGGGTTTCTTGAAGGAAGGCAGAGAGAGAGAGAGAGATGGAGTTATTGAAAGATTATTGCCAGCCAGCTGGAAGTTAGTAGAGTTTGTGGTTTTCTTTTTCAGAACTAGTGCAGAGCCGTGCTATTCAAATGGAAGATTTTTGTTTTTTACTATCCCATTTTAGCGTGTAAGATTTTGAAACCCCATCAGGGAAACAATTGGAACACAATGCATATGAACAAGCGTTCTTCAATTTAAATGCTAATTCTGCCCTTTGTTTCTGGGCCAGGACAGCTCCCACCTGCCTTTTTATGCAAAACCAAAATTATCTTTAATTTTCAATATTTCAAGTGCCCTGGTAATATGAAAGTTCCCCTCCCTGGCAAAAACGTACATTGTAAACCCTGACAACATGGCTGGGTTAGAAATTGAATCTGAAAATAGCTCTAAGTGTAGGACTTGTCTTTTACTTGTCTTCAGTATTAATTTTAGACTTTTCAGCTCCTCCCTCTCCTCCTCAACTTCATGTGTATTTCAGCACAGCTCCTCTGGCTCCGTGTTTTGCTCCTTTTAGTAGGAGTCTGAGCAGAAGGTGGGAGTCTATTTCTAACTGATGGCGCATGCTTCTTCTTCTTTGAAGTTCATTTCTGTGGGATGGCTGATTTAGAGGTGTTGATGGGTTTCCAGATGCAACCCTGTTACTTGTGGGTGATATATTCAACTTCTCTCTCTTCCAAATTGTAGTTTATTTTCTTCTCTTGGGTTTGGGGGACATCAAGAGTTAAAAAAGAAAAACGTCTAAAGGCTGCAAACAGAAGTGACTATGAAACCCGTAATCATATCCACGTGGCTTTGAATGTAAGATACAAATGTAGAAGACAGGGACTGTGTCTAGTGGTCACAAGCAAGGGAGGAATCAAGGCTTCTGGGTTCTATTCCTGGGTTTTGCAATTGATTCACTGTGTGACGTCTCTAACACAAAGTATTATTATGGACAATGGTGTAACTGTCAATTATGTAATGTGCATTTATTTTACATTCCTAATGGGCTCAATAACAATGTACTTTTAAATGCAATTGAGCTGTTTGTAAGGAAAAAGTCAACTTCTCTACTGGGAAAAAGAACCACCTTTTTAATGTGCTTTCAGTCTCCTGTGTTGTACAATCATCTATTTCATACTCAGTAGCAGGAGGACACATTTTGATGCATTTATCACCATTGTATTTGCACCTCCATCTCTGACTGTATTATTACTGTTGACACAGATGCTTTCTGCTGCCTTTTGATATTAGTCTTGTATCAGAGGTAAATATTCCATCTGGAACTGACTTTATTGTGCTGTCAGCAGTGCCTAGGTTATGATGTAACTTGGCACTGCAATTCAGATGACAGTAGGATAATATCATTAAGCCAGGCAGTCAATTCTACTCCAGACAAGATTAGAGAGACAAGCCACAGGTATCAAAACAGAACAGGAACCAATACGGATTTTCAAAGTTGATTTTAGGTTGAGGCAACACTTTCTGCTGCATTTCTCTTTATTTTTATCTAGAATTGTTAAGTACTTTTTGGAAAATAAAACCAAAACAAAGTAAAATGGAGTCTCGTGAGCCACAGGACGCTCACATTACCTATGCAATATGTGTAAAAACTAGAGACTGAGGTTTTGACAATTTCCAGTATTGCTGGCTGCTCATTTTTCCATCTTTCACAAGGGTAATCAGATATTGGGCATTCCTTAGCGATGACTCTTCTATTTGAGTGCAATTAGCATGTGAATCAACGCCATTCTAAGGTAACCAGATGGACTCCAAGAGCTCTCCACAAACAGATAGAAATATCTAATAGTCATGGCCACAAAAAAGCTTTTCCATTAAAGGGAACTCTTTGCCAGGGGCAGTAACACACAGAGGGAACAAGGCACATGCTGGAAGTGTCCTTCAGGGAATAGGCAGGCAAGGAAAGTGGCATGGGATGTATGGAAATGGGAGATGTCTGAGCAGAACATGAAGCTGCTGGAACTCGTCAGGCAGAGGTGCATGGATGAGAAGCCTTCAGGCAGACGTCTATACAGAGTCAGGGATATGGGAGAGCTGTCTGGATGTGAAGGGAGACTGCACTGCAAATGGGGAGAGAGTTAGAAACTAGTCCAGAAAAATCTGTGTGGCTTAATATCAGACTTTGTCAAGTTTAACTAGAGTCATTGGCTATCTTAACTCATGTCCAATGATATCATAGAAGATTAGGGTTGGAAGAGACCTCAGGAGGTCATCTAGTCTAACCACCTGCTCAAAGCTGGACCAACACCAACTAAATCATCCCAGCCAGGGCTTTGTCAAGCTGGGCCTTAAAAACCTCCAAGGATGGAGATTCCACCTCCCTAGGTAACCCATTCCAGTGCTTCATCACCCTCCTAGTGAAAAAGTTTTTCCTAATATCCAACCTAGACCTCCCCCACTGCAACTTGAGACCATTACTCCGTGTTCTGTCATCTGCCACCACTGAGAACAGCCGAGCTCCATCCTCTTTGGAACCCCCCTTCAGGTAGTTGAAAGCAGCTATCAAATCCCCCCTCACTCTTCTTTTCTGCAGACTAAATAAGCCCAGTTCCCTCAGCCTCTCCTCAGAAGTCATGTGTCCCAGGCCCCTACTCATTTTCGTTGCCCTCCGCTGGACTCTCTCCGATTTGTCCACATCCTTTCTGTAGTGGGGGCCACAAAACTGGATGCAATACTCCAGATGTGGCCTCAGCAGTCCCGAATAGAGGGGAATAATCACTTCCCTCAATCTGCTGGCAATGCTCCTAATAATGCAGCCCAATATGCCGTTAGCCTTCTTGGCAACAAGGGCACACCGTTGACTCATATCCAGCGTCTCGTCAACTGTAATCCCCAGGTCCTTTTCCGCAGAACTGTCGCTTAGCCAGTTGGTCCCCATCCTGTAGAAGTGCATGGGATTCTTCCATCCTAAGTGCAGGACTCTGCACTTGTCCTTGTTGAACCTCATCAGATTTCTTTTGGCCCAATCCTCCAATTTGTCTAGGTCACTCTGGACCCTATCCCTACCCTTCAGCGTATCTACCTTTCCTCTCAGCTAAGTGTCATCTGCAAATTTGCGAGGGTGCAATTCATCCCATCATCCAGATCATTAATGAAAATGTTGAAGAAAACCGCATCTGCAGTATCTGATGCTGCTTACCAAGGTAAATACAACAGAGGGACATTTTAGTGGTTTTTTGACCAAACCTTAAAAATATTTTGGATTACCATCCTCAATTCCAGAGTCTGTTTTCCAGTTAATAGCATAACTTGATATTTAAGCCTTATTTTTAAAGTAAAAGAGAATACATTTTAGATAACACTACCTCTGCACTGGTCAGCATATTGAATCAACAACTCATCTATAAAAATGTTGTCATCATTACACGATTGTAATGAATACCTTTTCAGTGTCCAGGGACCATATCTAGATAACTATACACTTTATTCCTTTTCCTTCTATGACTCTCTAAAGTAACATTTATTTGTAAAAAAAAAAAATTCAGTTAATATTTCATGACATGTTTATTCTGTATTTAGGTCTCCGCTGGTGATTCTGGGGGCTTCATCCTTTCACACTTTCCTGCTGTTAGCCCACAACAATCTTGTTACTGTTCAGGCTGCCTACTGTGCCAATTCTCATCTACATTTTTGTCCTTCACAAGCTCAATTTACCCAGAGGAGGTTCTTCCTGGTAGGCTCAAATTTTGGTATTGCCACGAACATGAAAACATTCAGAGGTTTGGTTACACGAGTACATTTTCCAAACTACAAAGTCTGAACCAATTCAAGATGTACCCAAGCGTGTGTTCTGTTTACCAAAAACAATTTAACCACACACAAAATTACACGTCACCCAGTGTTTGCATCCTTAGTTCAGGTCATTTCTGACTAAAGCTGGCAGGATCAAAATCGTTGTGTGGTTACCCAGACAGGAATATCACTGTGGTAATACCAGTGGTTTAAACTGATTAGTGAGTAGAGCACAAACCCTGTAGCTAACATTTAACTAGCTCATCCAAGTTAAAAGCCAATGGCTCCATTTTGCAGATCTCTGTTTGGCAGAGCACAAGCTGTACGTGTAAAGGGTGTGGGTTGAAATGCTGCCTTTTTTCTAATAGACACTGGGAAGGTGACACGTCTAGATTGGCATACAGGATTATCAGATAGACTGTCCTCCATTAAAGTACATTTGTTTAATTGCCAGGGGTGTTTTCAATGTTACAATAAAGCAATTACAAGCTTGCAGAAAACCAAATGTTAATTTAACATTCAGGAGTTTAAGCTGCAGGTTATTTTGGTGTTGGCAAACATTCCTTTTATAGCTGTGCCAAATATCAAAGGAGAAAAAGAGAGTTCTGAGTTCTGTGCTCATCTGGCTCAATACAGTGGAAGATGTCCCAGAAAAGATTGCTGGCCTGATCTTTAGAGGTCCTGCACACCTGAATCTTCCAGGTACTCAGTAACCCCGAAAATCAGGCAAGGCACTTTTTGGAAAAATAATAAAGCAGGTTACAGAGCCTATTTTGGCATCTGCAAGGAAGTTCAAATCGAAGAAATTGATCCCCCTCAGTAAGTCATGACACACGCAGGTCTAAAATGTATATTTGATATTAGTGGAATCCACAAACACAAACATGAAAGATAGAAACTGCAGCATCTATAGAAATTACCTGTCTCTCCCCACAGGCTGTCAAAGCTGTTGATCTGTGCTCGCTCCACCTCCTCTTCATCTTTTTCTGGAAGATCGAGCAGGTAGGAGACAATCTAAAACAAAGAGACGTGTCAGCTCATGAACTTCACCATGTTATATATAAACTGCTGACATCTTAACATAAGCCATTCTGAATAAACAAAAGAAAATGAACAAAGTCTCTGCCTGGCACCAGGGGTAGGTAAATATTCTTCCCGAGATCAGTAACTGAGCCCGCTGCCCTGTACAAGGGAAAAAACAAGTCTCTTGAGACAACTGCACATGACGAGCCTTTATAGTGGTGCTACCTAACAACTCAGAAGCTGTGTATGTTTTGTATACAGATTATCCTGTGCATGCAGTGAATGCTCCATAGTTCCTGGGTTACCCATAGCAACCAGGGCTTTAGTGA